GTTTATCCCTCATATAATGAAAAATTTACTGCTCACGGTAGTATAAATCTATAGACGACCACTTGAGAGTGTAATGTTCATAAAACGAGTGCAGTTTGATGTTTTCAAGAGTTCATATTTCTCAGTTAACGGCAAGTCTCCTGACTGTCCTGACAACTTAAATTTAAAATGTTAAGTTTCTTCGTGTCTTCTTTAATAATTTAACAATGTTTAGCAAATTTTTTTTGATTTAGCCGCGGCACCCCTGGCATACGCACACGGCACCCCAGGATGCCTCGGCACCCAGTTTGAGAGCCGCTGCTTTAACGCACTGTTAGCCCGACCGGGTGACGTCAGCAGCACGGCCTGTCAGTTGGAGTCGTGGTCAGTGTAACCCTGGCGCGACTTTCCACAGCTGCCAGCATTCTCAGACAGAGGTGCTCACTGTGGAGGACACTAGAGTGGTTTCAAAAGTAATGCTCTCTCACTTTAAAAAAAATATCTGGAAAACTTCTGTACGGATCACTGTGGCCTGATATATCCATTTTCTTATAGTTTCATCATTTACAATTGCACAAGGCCTCTGTTTTCTTAAAGCGGTGAATTTGTTTGATCTCTGTTAGACTAATTATATGTGCACCCCTAATAAACGAACATGTTTTAATTGACAAGCGCACGGAGATTGTTTCAAAATCAGTTTACATGTGCAGCGATTCGTGGTGATTATTTTGAGGGGGTGGGGGGGGGGGTGGGGCATGAACAATTGTATTCATCTAACTGTTGGGAGACTAATGCTGTAAATGTCTACCGGAGTAAAACGCTCATGAAAGAAGTGCAATGAGATTTTTTAAAACTCTCCGTTACTCATTTAAATGGTAACATGCTAATCGTTTTGCTTTGAAAACCTGGACCCCCCCCCCCCCCCCCCCCCCTCATAAACGCAAATCAAGCAAAATAAAAACTAGTGACTGTTTAATTTTTTTTTTAAAGAAAGACCTACAATGATATCATCATTAGCAGGTTGCAGGACAAATTTGAACAACTCACACCGAACGAATAATGAGTTACAGCTTTCAAAAGTTGGGTTCGATTTAATGAACAGACTATTGGAATAGGGAAAAAAAAAGGTAATGGCAGGGCAGACCAGGCGACTATTCTTGGAGATACAAAAAGTTCAGAATCGACGCCACATTAGGTTTGTAAACAGGTTTTCTTTGTTAGAAGATTTGAACAAGGATATAAAACACCTTTCATCTGGATTATCTTGCCGGATTCACACCGGAAATAGGCTATAAGGCTTTCAGTGTTGGTTCATCACAAACGGATACACATATAATTGCTCATTTTTTGTGCTGTGAAGAAACAGCGGAATAAATGAACAAGATTTATAAAGATGAATATTTATTATTTACTAGCTGTACCCGGCCACGCGTTGCTGTGGCATAGTTTGGCTAAATGGAAATGAAAGAAAATAGAAATCGCACGTGTCCAATACAATCATTGTCTGCTCAGATATAGAGATAGTCTTTGATCTCCACTCCCCCCCTCCCCCCCCCTACAACTAAATCCACCTACTACCCTCTCCCTCATTAAAGGTTTTTAGAAAATAAAGACAGTGGAAATCGCACCTGTCTAATATAGTTAATGTCGCAATCCTTCTCTGCACATTTATATAGAGATAGTCTGGTTTTCCAACTTTAGAACACGCACCATATAATTGTGTCTTTATATTAGTGGTCGTCTAAATGGTGCTATTAGCACGGTAACAAAAGTGGTGATTTGGTTATCACATGCTAAAGTTGTTTGTATTTTTATAGGAGACGGAAGTAAAGCTACAACTGTACTTGTAAATAACAAAGTAAGTCGTAAAAATAGAAAAGCTGAGGTAGCGTTAGTAAAATATCAACAAATTAGGTAATGAGAACTTGAAAATCACGTGTAAAGCTCTTTAAGTTCTCTTAAATTTAAGTCATTACCCCCCTCCCCTCCCCTCTTCCACCGACTACTGCTCTCTCCCTCTTCGAAATATTTGAAAATCATTACCTGGCGATATTTTGTTGTTGCTGTAACTGAAATTGACATCCCTGTCCATCTGGACTAAAATGGGGAGCAGGAATTGTAATAGGTAGTGAATGGGGCTAGTGTAATATTAACCACATCATCCTTCAAGTACCAGTACAACTACTAAAATAATGTCACTGCTATCTGTGTTACCATCGGAGTAGACAGAGAGTCGTGAGCCAGAAGATTTGGTTCCGCACGGCTAGTGCTGTCGCCACAGACTGGTCAGGTTAGGATGTATAATTTCACTTGCCGACAGAAGAACGCCATAACCTTACCGGCGGTCTTCACATGAGAGCACTACGGTGTAACAGCCCAACCACAACTATTACTGCTGCTGCTACTTTAAGTGGGTAAAGCAGTAACTGTGACTTGAAGCTCTCTCAGTAAATAGTCCCCCCTCCCCCCCCCCCCTAAATTCACCGACAACTCTTTCTCTCATTGAAATAGTTGGAAGGGG